CTTACCCTAATGTCTGCCCTCTCTCCCCAATCCCTCACGCATCAGGCCACCTTTGTGCCCACAGATCATGGGCAGTGCTGTGTGGTCATCATCGTCCACACAGAGAGGGCAGTCAGCAGTGTGAGGTGGTTCTGCCTGCTGTGGTCTCACCCCAGGCATGGAAAGCAAGAGCCCTGGGTGTGGCTGAAGGTGCTCAGCTGGGTTTCTCAGGAGTCCCATCTGTCAGTGAATTGACAAGAAACAGAGCAAAACGACTGCTCCAATGTTGATGAGCCTGCCCCTGGGATTTGGAAACTTTCTAACAGAGAAAAACCCATATAGACAAAAGATTTTAATCAGGATTATGGTCAATTAAGCAAATCGGAAAAGGATACTTGAAGGAGTATTTGGGACACAGGAATCAAAAACACCAGGGAGACATGAGGAGTTTCCCTAAGACTCTAGACTACAGCACTATGTAGATAACTAACACCCAAACTATTGAATTATATTATTGAGGAAATAAAATTGACATTGAGTTACAAACTGTTTACAAAAGGTCATGAAAATCTTGGAGACTTGTTTCAATTCAGACAAATGTGTCCTTCTCATTCTCAGCTGTTCACTGGTGCATTTATCTTGAATTTGACCATCTGGGGAATGGGCGTGGCCTCTCCTGACAGGAAGGCTCTGGGGCCCAGGCAGGGAGAATGAGGTCTCAGAATGACTCCCTTGAGAGTCCTGTTCCCCTTTCAACAATGCACAGACCTAGAAGACCCCTCTGTCCTGTAGCACCTGCCATGAGCATTGGGCTCCTGTGCTGTGCGGCCTTTTCTCTCCTGTGGGCAGGGGGGTCCTGGGCAGGGCCCCTTGCAAGGATTTCATGGCCCAGCCCCTTTCCATTGGGGCTACAGCATCAGCTTTGTTCTTCTCTGCAGGTCCAGTGAATGCTGGTGTGTGTCACTCAGACCCCAAAATTCCAGCTCCTGAAGACAGGACAGAGCATGACACTGCAGTGTGCCCAGGATATGAACCATGACTACATGTCTTGATATTGACAAGACCCAGGCTGAGGCTGATTTATTACTCAGTTGCTGCTGGTACTACTTACAAGGGAGAAGTCCCCAATGGCTACAATGTCTTTACATTAAACACAGAGGATTTCCCACTCAGGCTGGAGTCGGCTGCTCCCTCCCAGACATCTGTGTACTTCTATGCCAGCAGTTACTCCACAGGGTGACAAGACCGTCTCCTCTCTGCACATAAAGGCAGGGAGGCTCTACCCTCATCCCCTACCTAGGACTCAGGGATGAAATGGGCAGAGATTTCTGCAACAGGAACCTTGGAACCCCAAGTGGCCCCAAGTGGCCCAGACAGTATGAGTATAGCTCTTGTGCCAGGTGCCTCTGCAGGCAGTCTCAGCCAGGCCTGGGCTGGTCCCAGGTCCTCAGATGTCTCCTTTGTTGTTCTCTCTGGTCTGTCCTCCAAGCTCTACTTTTGAGGTTGGGCCAGGGCTTCCCTAACTCCTACTTTTCTACTCATCATCCTGAGTCTGAGGCCCCCAGGATGAAACTGTATTTGTATTTCAGATCCATCTAGACTCTCGTCCCTCCCTGGTGAGCGTGTTGCTTTCTCTCTCTAGGGTTTCCTCCAGCCCCCACCCTCCTGTGGCCCACCTTTCCCATCTCTGCAGTCATCCTCCATCCCCCACCTCCCCACCCCTCTGTACTGCAGCCATGAGGGGAACCCCTCTTCTGTGACTCCTTCTTTCCCATCACAGAGACTTCAACGACGGTTTCCTCTGCCCTGGGCTGGAGCCTTCCTTTGTCTAGTGGCCAGTTCCTACCTGTGCTTCAGATCTCAGCATGATCAGCCCTCCTGCGGGAAGCAATCCCTCCCCTCCCAGCTGAGATCAACTTTCCTCTCCTAAGCTCTCATAGAATCATGCCTGTTAGTAACCTTTGGTGCAGCTGGGCTTTCTCAGATACTTGTCTGATTATTTTTGTGCTTCCCCCAATTTTTTTTTTTTTTTTTTTTTCTTTTGAGACAGAATGTTGCTCTTTCGCCAGGCTGGAGTGCAGTGGTGTGATCTCTGCTCACTGCAACCTCTGACTCTCTGATTCAAGCAATTCTCCTGATCTCTGCTCACTGCAAGCTCCGCCTCCCGGGTTCGCGCAATTCTCCTGCCTCAGCCTCCTGAGTAGCTGGGATTACAGGCGCCCGCCACCATGCCCAGCTAATTCTTGTATGTATTTTCAGTAGAGACGGGGTTTCACCATCTTGGCCAGGATGGTCTCGATCTCCTGACATCATGATCCGCCTGCCTCGGTCTCTCAAAGTGCTGAATTACAGGCATGAGCCACCGCTCCTGGCCTCTCCACTCAATTTTTAAGCCCGTGAGAGCTAAGGCTGTGCCTGCTGCATTTACCAACAATGGTGCCTGGCATGTGGGGAGACCCATTTCACAGAGAATGGATGAGTGAATGACAGGGTGAGTGGGTGATGAGTGGGTGGATGAACCAATAGTAGGAACACGCTACATCTACTGTAACCTGGCAGAGATCTAGCATTAAGTAAAAGAAAGCCCACCCCTTTGATTGCTGGGCTCAGGTCGGTCTTGGAAATTGATGGGGAATCACTATCCTGGCGTCCACACCTGGCTCAAGGCTTCCTCTTGTGGCTGCAGCACCTGACCTCCAGGTCTCTGTGCTCTCCTTCAGGGTCTTTCCCCACAACAAATCCAGACAGATCAGAGAGCCACTTGTAGAATTCCATCGTTAAAGGTTGTTCCTTGAAACCACATCCGGTAAGAAAATCTCCATTAGGTTTGCATCAATAAAATAGGGACAGTATAAGTTTGAGAGTGTAACGGATTTAAGATCAGAATTACACTTTATGCACATGTGGGAGGAGCTGAGGAAGACAAGGTCTTGAGGAGAGAAGTCAGAAGGTGAAGGAGCCAGTCAGTAACCAGGGCTTCTGGAACTCTGGGCAGGACAGGCTGGAGTGGCAGGGACATGAGAGGATCAGAGCATGTGAGGTCATGCAATGGAACCTGGAGCCGGGAGCACAGGAAAAGTCCAAGGAAATCTGCTTCTGGGGAAGATGTTCCCTCTGTATGGTGGCCATGCCTGCAGGTGCACTGCCAAACACTGGGGGCAGCCTGGCTGCTATTGGCCAGCATTTGGGAAGATGAACTGGACACAGGTTGCAGAAGGAACAGGACTTCCTAGGTCTGTTGGATGCCTCTGTGTCTGCTGGTCACTGACTCTCACTGTCTGACCACAATGACCTGCCAATTGTTATAGTGATGGTTTTATATCTATCTTTTAAATTTTATAAAATGTATCCTTGACCATCTCTAAGAGTGATAAGAGAAATGGCATTCTGGGAAAGTCAGACTCTTACCTTTGCAAAGTTGACTTAACACAATGCAGCACAGGATGGATTCTCCCAGATTAAGGCATCTGATCACACAACTGTCTCAACCTGCCACGGTCCGTGAACTCCTCTCCTGGAGACACCTGTGCTGCCCTGGTGAATGTGGACACAATTTGTATGTAGATATTCCAGACACTGGCTACTACCTTTTCTTCTAATTCTGTGCCTGAAATCTCACTCCACCCAGATGCAGGGCTCTGCCTCCTGCTTCTGTCTCCTCCCTGAGCTTCCATCCTGATGGAGTTGCATGGACATCAAACTCCTGGACAGAGTGCAGAGACCTGTGGAGACAGTGGGAGGGAATCTCACGTCTTGCTACCTTCCTGGACCCAGTTCTTTTATAACCGAAGCAAGTGCTCTGGTCTCCCTTTGGACTCTGCAGTATGGGAAATGTGCTTCATGAATTTGTAGCTGATCAGCTCAATGATTTGATGGCAAACCCAAAGTGAAATCCTCAGATCTGCAGAAATTGCCCTGCATTACTGTGAAGATGGCGAGAATACTGTGTGGTAGAGATGCCTTCTCCCCGTGTAGAGACCTGGCCCCCAAACAGGACAGAGCAGAGAGGGCCAAAGAGCCCAAAACATGTCTCAAATTGTTGAAAGACAACTTCCCAGGACTATTCTACTGACAACTTTGGGTCCCTCATATTACATGCCTGACCACCCTTCCTCCCAGATCAGCTGAGTACCCAGGATATCACACATCCCAGCATCTTCCAACAAGGAAAAGTACTTTGCATACCAACTTCCTTCCTGAACCATATTGACTAACCCTGGAAACTTAGCCTTTCCAGAAAAAAGCTCTATCTTTTCTTGGTCCAGTGTAGTCTGGTAGGTTTAATTCATGATTTATGTGACCTTTTAATTTACTCACAGGAGAACATACGATTTCAGAGTAAAGAATGTTCATTTTATTTGTATAAGTTGGACCTAAACAGTAAACTGAGTACTTTTCTTTCATCAGTGTCTTAAATTGGACAATGGTAAAACACATCTTAGATGCTAGAACTGTAGGTCCTGGTGTTTTTCATATGGAAGTTCCCAGTTACTCAGTCTAGGGCATGGAATGGATAAGCGTTAGTAAGTCACTCTATGCCTAAAATGATTTTCTATGGGTATCTGTTCTGAGTTACAGTTAAGAAGGGTGTGAAATGATCCCAAAAGAAAGGCATGAGGGCAGTTCGTGAGGAAACCCATGTGATGGGACAGTCCCATTGGGCACGTGTGACTGGGCAAATGGAGGAGGCTGGGGGATGAATGGGATGGCACAGGGTACCCTGACTTGCAGGAAAGACCATGAGCTCACCCCTTTGTGCCCTATGTTAGGGGCACTGTTGGTGCATCCTACAGGACATGCCCAGCAGACAGAGGAGCGGCTGTGGGATGAGAAGATGAACTCAGAGATGCAGCATGAGGCCTCCGGGTACAGACAGCTCTGGAGCCCAAGGCGATGAGCCATGCATTGATGTTGTTAAAACGGTGGTTAAAAATATTTAAAGCATCATCCAAGTGTGTTCTAATATAAATACTGTGACCCTGATGTCCTGGGGAATGAGAAAGGAAATGATGTCACTGTGGGAAATGCCCTGTGGGGACAAGGACGTCTGTCATCCTCTGCTCCTGCTCACAGTGACACTGATCTAGTAACACCCCCGTCCTGGCCTGACCCTGCCATGGGCACCAGGCTCCTCTGCTGGGTGGTCCTGGGTTTCCTAGGGATAGGTGAGTCCTCAGAACACTAAGTAGTTTCATTTTTTTCTGTATGTAGACGTGTGTGTGTGTGTGTGTGTGTGTGTGTCTGTGTGTGTGTGATGACTACAAATGTTTTCCTTTTTCTGTTGCCAAATTCTATTTCCACAGATCACACAGGTGCTGGAGTCTCCCAGTCCCCAAGGTACAAAGTCACAAAGAGGGGACAGGATGTAGCTCTCAGGTGTGATCCAATTTCGGGTCATGAAGCCCTCTATTGGTACCAACAGGCCCCGGGACAGGGCCCAGAGCTTCTGACTTACTTCAATTACAAAGCTCAACCAGACAAATCAGGGCTGCCCAATGATCGGTTCTCTGCAGAGAGGCCTGAGGGATCCTTCTCCACTCTGACGATCCAGCGAACAGAGCAGCGAGACTCGGCCGTGTATCTCTGTGCCAGCAGCTTAGCCACAGCATGGCACGGTCGCCTCCTTCCTGTTCACAAACCTCATCCTTCTTTCTCTTTGCAGCTCCAAGAGACCGTTACTTTTTGTCTCTCTTTGCTCCTCACTTTTCATGGGAAAGAGGTAGATTTGGACATCGGCTGTCCTTTGGGTAGAAAGAGACCACAGATTCATTTCTGAAACACAGTGACTGCAAATGTAGGTGGTGAAAACAATCACGGCCCACTGCACTCTAGGAGTCCTCGGAACCAGCTCACTTCTTCAAGCAAGGAGTGGGTGTCTCAGCCTAGGCCTTCAGGGCAGACATGCATCTTCTATACGTTTTGGAGGCTGCAGTGCTGCCCACACCCATGAGGTTATCAAGGGAGGGAAACATGCCTCTTCTCCTGCATATGTTGAGGCATCTGGAAGGTCTGAGGCTACATACCCAGGAAAGTCTTTCTTTCGAAGCTCTTCTATCCCGGTCACCATGGAAGTTTTCTGCAACAAAATATTGAACCTCTCTTCCTGTTTGAAGTAAAGGTCTTTGCAACTTTTATGGTCCTTACTTGATAAATACAATCATGATAACAACAAGACTTCATTTATTTGCCTACTTTAAGCCACGTATATCCTTTATTTTATTTCCATTTGCCATTGCTGATGTCCTGATAGACAGAAGTATGCCTTCACCACTGCTGCCAGTTCACCTTGATTCCCTCAGGAAATCTGATTTTTAGACTCTGAGTGTTTTCATTGTTGTCCAACTCATTTGATTTGAAATAATTTTCCTGAGGCCTTTAATTCAAGAAGTGTTTTATTTATAATATTGAATTTATTCCTTTTTATTTTATTTTTCATAATATATAGTGTTATATAGTATATAGATCTGGGATTCTACAAGTTTGTAAGTCGTACTGAAAACATCACCTTGGCTGAGATTCCACTGGACACCAAGTACGTGTTCTCTGGAGGGCAAAAAAATAATGATAAAAATTTCTAAAATACCTAAATAAACAGACTACTGCAGGAAAATGTTAGGAGATGCACCAAACTGTGCCGTTAGACCTGAAGATAATCTACCAGTAGAATTATCGAAAAGAGACTATAAATAAGTCTCCAGTAAGTATTTGTGGGCATAGAGCAGTGTCTGAGTCTTCTCAGGCTAGATAAGGAAGGAATTCAGTTATTATCATGACTTTGCCTTGGATGAAAATGCATGAACTCCTCAATTTATTTTCTTGTAAAATATTACAGAATGATATTGAGCAAACATTTCATTTTTCTCCAACTGTATCCCTCTTTAGCACTTACAAGTAAAGCGGACACCTAGAGGCACGATTTCTGTAGTTGGGATCCCTTGACTTCAGGACTAAAGTCCATAGCTGGGCTTTATAGGGACTGCAAACCCCACGTGCAGGGAACCCCGTGTGTCTGTGCTGTGCCCAACTCCCTCTGTGAGGCTGCCAAAGGGGGAGTGCTGGGTCTCCCAGAACCCAGCTCACAAAGAGGGTAGCAGTCTGCTTGCTGGGCAAAAAAATAAATTCACCTATTGGCCAATATGTGGAAAGTCAAAAACAAAGGAAATGCTCGATGGTGAGACTGGCAGATGCCCAATTTCCCAAGTTATGAAATGTATAACAGCTCATGGTTCTCAGAATTTCAACAGCTCATTAAGATATTTTTAGAAAGTTTTTGTTTGTCTACAGCTGTCCTTGATATTGATCCTCACTTGTTTTCCAGCCTACTGGTCACTTGAGGTTATTTTGTTGCCAAATTTCAGTGTTGCCTATTTCAGTCACTGAGCACTTCTCACATTCTCCATATCTTACACAGATAGGTGTGTTCCTGTCTTTAAGTATTTTTAGATTGGGCTGTGCAGAATACAAGCATACATTTGTATATGACTCCCACCTTTTATGCAATTTAGCTGTTTAATTTTTAGTAATATTTTTTATTAAGGTATAATTAATAGAGAGTAAAACACAAATATTAATACAAGGACATCCTGGTACATTTTGACAAATGCGTATGCCAGTGCAATAATAACTGAAATTATTATAAAAAAATTTCCTGGCCAGGCGTGGTGGCTCATTCCTGTAATCCCAGCACTTTGGGAGGCTGAGGCTGACGGATCATGAGGTCAGGAGATCGAGACCATCCTGGCTAACACGGTGAAGCCTGTCTCTACTAAAAATACAAAAGTTAGCCAGCCGCAGTGGTGGGTGCCTGTAATCCCAGCTACTCAGGAGGCTGAGGCAGGAGAGTCACTTGAACCTGGGAGGTAGAGGGTGCAGTGAACCAAGATTGCACCACTGCACTTCAGCCTGGGTGACAGAGCGAGACTCTATCTCAAAAACAAAACAAAACAAAACAAAAAAACAAAAAAAAAACCTTTGGCTGGGCGCAGTGGCTCAAGCCTGTAATCCCAGCACTTGGGGAGGCCGAGATGGATGGATCACGAGGTCAGGAGATCGAGACCATCCTGGCTAACGCGGTGAAACCCCGTCTCTACTAAAAAATAGAAAAAACAAAACTAACCAGGCGAGGTGGTGGGCGCCTGTAGTCCCAACTACTCAGGAGGCTGAGGCAGGAGAATGGCGTAAACCCGGGAGGCGGAGCTTGCAGTGAGCTGAGATCCAGCCACTGCAGTCCAGCCTGGGCAACAGAGCGAGACTCTGTCTCAAAAAATAAAAATAAAAAAATAAAAAAATAAAAAAATTTCCATCACTCAAGAAAGCATCCTCGTGCTCATTTCCAATTAATTTCTATCCCAGAGATAAAAACTTTTCTATTTTTATCACCATTGACTAGTTTTGTCTATTCTTGAGCTTCATATAATGGAATCATATTTTTATTGAGTTATTTTTCTTCAAAATTAGTATTTCTGAAGTGTATTCATATTGTAGTATCAGTAGGTCATTCTTTCTTATGACGAATGTTCCATTGCATAAATACACCACAGCTTGTTGATCCACGCTCCTGTTGATGGAGATCCACGTTATTCCCGTCTTCAACCTTTATGAATAAAGTTGTTGTGAACATTCTTGTGGAATTCTTTCTTGTGGACATATGCATTCTTCTTTTTTTTCTTTTTTCAGATATAGACTTAAGAGTGGAAATACAGACTCACCGTGTAGATGTGTGTGCTATGCTTGCGTGTCCCCACAAAAGCTCATGTTGAAATTTGCCAATGTAATGGTATTGGGAGGTGGGACAGCTACAATTAGATCATGAGGGATCTGCCCTCAGAAAGAGATCAATGCCCTTATTGTGGGAGTGAATTAGTGGTCTTGGGAATGGTCTTCTGATAAAAAGGATGAATTCAGCCATTTTCTCTGTTTCGGATGCTTGCTTCCCCTTCCTCCTGCCTTGGATAACAGCAGGAGGCCCTCATCAGTTATGGACCCTTGATCTTGGACTTCCCAGTCTCCATATCTATAAGCCAAATAAATCTCTTGTTTTTATAAATTACCCAGTCTGTGGAATTTCTTTATAGCGATAGGAAAGAAATTGAAAGAAAATATGGTACCAAGAGTGAAGCTGTTGCTATAATATCTGAAAACGTGGAAGCAGCTGTAGTTAATCGGAAGTGGCTAATGGATAGAGGTTGAAAGAACCGGGAGGAGCAGACTAGTAAAAGCCTAGATTGCTGAAAACAGAGAATTAAGGGCAGTTCTGGTGAGGGCTCATGGAGAAATGAGAAAGAAGGTATCAGAAATTGAAGTAAATGCCATCCTTATTGTAAGTACCAAAATCCTTGGCAAAATTGTGTCCTGTTCTAGGACTTCACGGAACATAAAAATTATGAGTCATTCGCTAGGATATCTGCTGAAAGAAATATCTAAGGGGCTAAGCATTCAGACTACTGTGTGAATACTTTCAGTCACCAGGAAATTTAACCCAGAAAGAAGGGAGCCAAGGGAATAGATTTTGCAAGCCAGCACAGATGGTGACCCTACCTCCCTCTGCTGTCCTGTCTCCTATAAGCCAAACTCTATGCTGTGAGCTGTTAAAGCACTAGAATTTTTTTTCTGGGGAATCTGTACTATTAATAATGTACAGACAACCCAAGTCTGCTTTGGATCTGATCAGACTGACTAAGTCTTGGGAACTCTGCACCACCGGTCACTGAAGAAAGGGGCTGGGAATGTTGCCTGGGACAAGAAAATATAGTTAGAAACATTGGAGTGAATCTAGCATCAGAAAGATGATGTGAGGACTGCAAGGAATAGCTGGAACCTGAGGTTTAATCACAGGCTCCTCACCCTCCGCTGATGAGCAGGTGTGTGAGCTCCAGCATGGAGCACTGCAGCACTAGGTCAGAGGAGGGTGATAGGGCGATGGGGCAGCCTGTGAGCCGAGGAGCAACTGTATCATCACAGAAGCTTCTGCCTTCACCCATCCCTCCAGCTCTGCAGGACAGGTAGAGTCCAGGGAGTCCGTGGAGCACTAGACCTAAGGAAGTCTGCATGGGGAGGACACAGGACAGTGACATCACAGGATACCCCTCCCATCAGGAAAATCAAGAACCAGAACTCACTCAACTCTATCCCAGGAGAACCAAGCCCTGCGTCAGGTGCAGTGCTGCCTGCCCCACTGTGCCATGGGCCCCGGGCTCCTCTGCTGGGCGCTGCTTTGTCTCCTGGGAGCAGGTGAGTCCTGTGCACTGGACAGCAGCCCCATTCTCAGCTTTCCCACCCCTGTGTCCTCCACTTTACCTTGGGGAGGGTCTCCAGGCTGTCTCCTGGCTCATCCTCCATCTCCTTTTCCCACAGGCCCAGTGGACGCTGGAGTCACCCAAAGTCCCACACACCTGATCAAAATGAGAGGACAGCAAGTGACTTTGAGATGCTCTCCTATCTCTGGGCACACCAGTGTGTACTGGTACCAACAGGCCCTGGGTCAGGGGCCCCAGTTTATCTTTCAGTATTATGAGAAGGAAGAGAGAGAGAAAGGCAACTTCCCTGGTCGATTCTCAGGTCACCAGTTCCCTAAGTATAGCTCTGAGCTGAATGTGAACGCCTCGGAGATGGGGGACTCGGCCCTGTATCTCTGTGCCAGCAGCTTGGCACAGCCTGGCAGAGTCACTGACATTCTGTATATAAACTTCCTGCCTTAGCTTTGATTTGAGAGCTGCAGGCCCCACCCAGGTTTCACTCCTTCAAGGGAAGCTTTTAGTTGTTTGGAAGGCACGTCTTCTGTCCTACTGAGTGCAGAGCTCTCCCAACCAACAGAGCTCAGGTTTCCTGTGCCCTGAGAGTGCCCACTTTTCTGCTGCATCTTCTTGCAGCTTATCACTTCCTGGGTAGCTTCAGAACAAGAGTGACCGATGAGCCCTAGATGTGCGATTGATTCTTTGTATTTGTTATATAGCTTAAAGCCTTTCGACAATCTTGCATATCAAACGTTCTTATTTTTCCTTTATGGATGGAAGGCTAAGGGACACTGAGTCATTTTCCCATGTCTCCTGGCTTGTAAGGATCAGAAGCAGGAAACAAACTAGTCCATACATTTTCTATCTAGCCCCTGCTCCATCATTACCTTCTGCATCCTGGTCAGTAAGTCAGAGCCTTCACACTGCCCTCTAGTGACCAGCAGGGCTGCAGTAGAGATTCAGTTGTCTTCAGGGGTCATTACTATGGCCTCTTCATTAGCAACTTTGAGGAATGTTAAATTTCACACTTTTTAAAAATCATTTATATGCATTCCCTGTGTCTTTCCCCAGTCTTTAGTTTACATTTTCATTTTTATGGTGTTTTTTGATGCACAAGAGTTTAATTTAATGCAACAAAAGCTAAAAAACAATTTTGTTTGTGTGTAAACAAAAACCACTTTCTCATATAAATATCTAAGCATATTTTTCTCAATTTATTCTAGTAAAATTTAATTTTGGATATTCATACTAAGAATAAATGTACCTAAAATATGTCTCATGTAAGAAATAAGACAGAGGCCTAGGAATGGGAGGGAAGGACATATGTTCAGTGAAAAAGCAACAGCCTGTCAAATAGAGCCCTAAAGTAGACACCCGGAGCTGATGGCGGAGAGGTAGGTGGAGGCCCAAAATTGGGGTGGAAGCCCAAATTTTGCCGAAATGATTTGAATCTATGCTTTAAAGACGAATGCAGTTTTACCTCTTTAGGCAATAAAGACCAAAAATAGACTAACTATTTTAAATAATTGAACCTGAAACATACCAAAATCGGAACATCTTCCCTAAGGACAGCATTTTCTTCCACCCAGTCGCTAAATCTGTATTTGAGAAAGCTGTGTACTGTTGATAACCGTGCAATATCGTTACAATCAACATCGTAATAATACTACTACTTGGATCAGAAACAAAGAGCATTTCTAAAGTTTGAAGAATGTATAACTGGAAACAAGCTCTCACTGAGTTTGGAAATGCAGGCACTAGAGGGTGCTCATTTCTCTTCCTTTTCCAATCAGGGGGCTACTCAAAGTCTGTTCTAGAACAAGGAGTGAGATCCTCCACTTCCCCATGGTGATCAGGCTTTCAGAGGTAGAAGCCTTATTAGTTCATAATCAGCACGAACTGACCTCACCATCAAATGTATCAACCTCGATGCTCACCCTCCTCAGCAGTCAGAGATTTGCTGTGTTCTCCAGGAGCTCGTGCATTTCACGGAGCACACTTTATCCTCAGTTTATTTAAAAAAAAAAAAAGAGCCTTTATAGGGAGTTCTATTAACAGAAGCTTTCTGTACTTTGCCCTTTTAGATGCTACAAATTCTGATACCTGATGAAAAGTGTAAACTTAAAGCTTGCATGTGGTTAAGATTTTTTAATAACCAAATTAAATAATATATATAATGAAAATGTCAATAATGCTCTCAAATCCAATCCCACCTTCCATTGGTAATGAATATTAACACTCTGGTTTGCTTCCTTTTACCCCTCTTTTCTGTGTTCATGCATAACTTTCTACCGAAGTACACCTAAAGAAAATGGGTTCACCTGTACACTTTACCTGCCACATGCATACTCTTTTCTGTTAATAGACTTGTTCTTTATTGTTCCAGATTGGTTTATATAGACCTAACTTGCTCCTATTAGCTGCTTCACATTGCATAATGAGGGTAGACAGGTACACTTGTGCTCTGTTGCCTGATTCCTAAGTTCTGCCAGATCTTTTCTAAAGTGGCTGAATGGCACCTTATGCTTCCAGGTTCTCCTCACCCCAGCACTTAGTTGATGATTCCAGCTTTTCCATCACTCATAGTCCTAGAAGGTCTGAGAGCTTTATCAGTTTCTCGTGCTTGAGGAGACAGGGAGGGATAAAAGAGTAGATAATTGTCAAACCTATCAGAGACTACACAGTATCTGAGTTCATGCTCATAAAGCATTGAGAGGAATGTTAGTCTTGTTTTATAGATGAGTCTACATGAGGCTAGAGTCCAGGAAGGTTAATGAATGCCTTGCCCATGGTCTCAGAGCTAATAAATGATGGAGCCAGATAAAGGATAGTCTGCTTATTTCTGTGTGGGATTGATCGATGGGAGTTCGAGGGAGGAGAAGTCTAGAACCATGTGGGGTTGTCTTCAGATAAGACACCAGGGGTAGGAGGGTCTGTGTACCCTACAGCACTGCAGGTACATGCTTCATGGTGTTGGCAATGGGGAGATACTAGAGCAGGTGAGTGGTTAGTGGCCTGGAACCAGAAGATCTGAGGTTTGAGAAAATTATTCCCATCACAAGATGTAACAGAGACACTGATGTGAATAAACTAGACCAGGGAGCTCTATGAGGAGCTGTTGTTAACATGAGGGAGGGAGAAAAGCATCTAAGTGGTCACTTCTAATATGTGAAATGTAGAGGAAAACAATGTTAACTAGAATCCCATCTGATTTTAGTCAGTTTTGCTTGGTAAGTAGTTGGAAGGTGGGATAATTTATTTTTGAGGTTAGGTAAACATCTATAAGACTCCTTTACCTTGTGAAGTCTGGTGATGACGGGAAAAATGGCACAGCCAATGCAGTCACAGTTTGTTTGATAAATAACTCAGAGTTCAAAGAGAGACACTCATGGGCCTGAAATTGGTAAATGTTCCTGCATTCTAAAATTAGGAGGATCTTATTTTCTTTGAATCAGCAGAGAAGGAAGCATAGGCAGTGGGGAGGGCCAGTTGGGAACACAGCAGAGTGGCCGCAGGATATCAAAGACAAAGGACATGTAATATCAAATTCTTTTTTTTTTTTTTTTTTTTTTTTTGAGACGGAGTCTTGCTCTGTAGCCCGGGCTGGACTGCAGTGGCCGGATCTCAGCTCACTGCAAGCTCCGCCTCCCGGTTTACGCCATTCTCCTGCCTCAGCCTCCGGAGTAGCTGGGACTACAGGCGCCCGCCACCTCGCCCAGCTAGTTTTTTGTATTTTTAGTAGAGACGGGGTTTCACCGTGTTAGCCAGGATGGTCTCGATCTCCTGACCTCGTGATCCGCCCGTCTCGGCCTCCCTAAGTCGTGAAGCTGTGATGCAACCCTCCCCCTTCTCCTAATGGTTTTTCAGGTCTCAGCACAGATGCACACCTGCACACGTGAGGGAGTAATTGCTTTGGAAATGAAGGACAAATAGCTGTGTTAAATATTAATAACAACTCCACCTTACAAAGCACACCTGGAAATGGAAACAAGATTTTTCTAAGGCCTTCTCTACTCTAAGAGTCTGTAACTTGTTGGCAAACTGAGAGGTGAGGATGGGGGAGTGTTGATCCACATGCGATGAGTACTGTGTGCGGGGAAAAAGAGATCAGACTGTTACTGTGTCTGTATAGAAAGAAGTAGACATAAGAGACTCCATTTTGTTCCGTATTTGAGATGCTGTTAATCTGTAACCCTGCCCCCAACCTTGTCCTTGCAAGAGACATGTGCTGTGGTGACTCCAGGTTTAACGGATTTGGGGCTGTGCAGGGTGTACTTTGCTAAACAAGGGCCTGAAGGCAGTATGCTTGTGAAAAGTCATCACCATTCTCTTAATCTCAAGTACCCAGGGACACATACACTGTGGAAGGTCACAGGGACCTCTGCCTAGGAAAGCTAGGTATTGTCCAAGGTTTCTCTCCATGTGACACTCTGAAATACGGCCTCATGGGAAGGGAAAGACCTGATTGTCCCCCAGCCTGACACCTGTGAAGGGTCCCTGCTGAGGAGGATTAATACAAGAGCATTTGCTTCTTCAAGCTCATTTGCCAGTTGAGATAGAGAAAAGCATCTGTCTCCTGCCCATCCCTGGGCAATGGAACATCTGGGTGTAAAACCCGATTGTATGTTCTATTTACTGAGAAGGGAGAAAACTGCCTTAGAACTGAAGGTGGGACATGCCTGCGGCAATGCTGCTCTTTATGCACTAAAAAGGTTTACGGAGATGCTTGCATATGCATATCAAGGTACAGCACTTTTCTTAAACGTATTCATGTCACAGAGATCTTTATTCATATGTCTTACTGCTGACCTTCTCCCTACTATGATCCTATTATCCTGCCACTTCCCTTTTCTAAGATGGTAAAGATAATGATCAATAAATACTGAGGGACCTCAGAGAGCAGGCCAGCGCGGGTCCTCTGTATGCTGAGTGCCGGTCCCCTGGGCCCAATTTTTCTTTCTCTATACTTTGTCTCTGTGTCTCATTTCTTTTCTCAAGTCTCTCGTTCCACCTAACGAGAAACGCCCACAGGTGTGGAGGGGCAGGCCACCCCTTCATGCTCTGGTCTCCCTTTGAGCTCTGCAGTATGAGAAATGTGCTTCATGAATTTGTAGCTGAGCAGCTCTGAGATTTGATGCCAAACCCAAAGTGAAATCCTCAGATCTGCAGAAATTGCCCTGCATTTCTGTGAAGATGGCAAGAATACTGTGTGGTAGAGATACCTTCTCCCCATGTAGAGACCTGGCCCCCAAACAAGACAGAGCAGAGAGGGCCAAAGAGCCCAAATCATGTCTCAGATGGTTGAAAGACATTTTCACAGGACAATCCTGCTGATGACATTTGGTGCTTCTTATTACACGCCTAACTACCCTTCTCCCCAGATCAGCTGAGTCCCCAGGATATCACACATCCCAGCATCTTCCAACAAGGAAAAATCTTTGCGTAACAGCCTCCTTCCTGAACCACATTGACTAACCCTGGAAACTTAGCCTTTCCAGAAAAGAACTCTGTCTTCTCCTGGCCCAGTCTAGCCCAGTAGGCTTAATTGACGATTTATGTCACCTTTTAATTTACTCAGAGAAGAACATATGATTTCAGAGTAAGGGATATTCATTTTACTTTGTATAAGTTGGACCTAAACAGTAAACTGAGTACTTCTCTTCCATCAGTGTCTTAAATTGGACAATGGTAAAACAAATCTTTGATGCTAGAAATTTAGGCCCTAGTGTTTTTCACATTGAAGTTCTCAGTGTCCTGGGCACAGAAGAGATGAGCATTAATAAGTCACACTATGCCAGAGATGGTTTTCTATGGGTTTACAGACTAGTATTCTCCCGTTGAGCAAGCATAAGAGCGTTTGCTTCTTCAAGCTCATTTGTCAGTTTGTATGGGAATTTCCAGTTTGAAATAAGTTATGCTTTTAAATTTGAAAGAGTGTGAAGTCAGGCTGGGTGCAGTGGCTCATGCCTGTAATCCCAGCACTTTGGGAGGCTGAGGCAGGCTGATCACAAGGTCCACGTGGCCAGTATGGTGAAACCCTGTCTCTACTAAAAATA